CAGGGAACTGTCCGTGTGAACTGTCGCCGTCGCCGGAGGCCGCCAAAGTACTGAGGCGGAAGTCCGGGGTCCCAAATGGGCCCAAAATGCCAAATCCGTCAGCGATTGGCGAGAGAGGCGCAGCGTCCCCTGCCAGCTCGTCTTGGTCGCCAGGTCGTCGTACAGAGACCGCAGGAAGAACCGGGCGGCCGGCACTGGGAGCGAGAGGCTCTGGCCGCGGCCGCAGAACCGGGTGAGAACCCGGGCCTTGAGCGGACGGCGGCGATGGGCAAGCAGGCGGGCGGCATCCGCGTGGAGCTGGGCCACCCGATCGGGCGGGGCAATCACCAGGCCCCGCGCCATGTCGAGGAGAACGCCCAGGTGGCGGATCAGGTGAGTGGGTTGCCACTGGCACTTGCTAGGCTTCAACACGATGCCTAGGGCTTGGAGAAGAGTCTGTACCATGGTGCCCCACGTTGCCGTCGCCGCGTCCCCCAACAGGCCCCCCACGAAATCGTCCATGTACGGGGAAAGGACGGGGGAGGGATTGGCCGCCCAGTAAGCCGCGAGGGCAGGATGGGTCGGGCGGCGCCGAGCGGCTACGCGGGGGGCGCGCAGAAAGGCGACGAGGGGCCGCATCAACTTGGTAAAGACGGGGGGGGGAGTTCGTCCATCCGAAGCAAAGGCCGGGCGCCTCGAAAAGTTGGCCATTCACCGCGAACTGAAAATACCTCACGGCTTTGGCCTCCACGCGAAGGTGATGGAAGGCATCGCGGACGTCTCAGCCGATCAGGCGGTGCCCCTTGCGTAGAGTGGGCAGGAAAGTCCGCAGTGTCTCGAATTTCGTTGATAACTTGGTGGTGTGTTGATTGAGGTGACGAAGGTCCACCACCAACCGGAAGCCGCCGTCCTTCTTCGGGACCATGAAGGCGCGGGAGACGTGGGTGGCCGGGCTGCGGGAGTAGCGGATGGCGCCCGTCTGCAGGTAATGGGTCTTGAGGTCCTCCCATGCGGCGAGCGCTGGCCCCGCGAGCCAGCATGTCCCGTGATGGAACGGCGGGGGCGGTTGATGGTTCCACACCACCGGAACGCCCTCCCGGATCCAGCGCAGAATCGTGGAAGAGGCGCCCAGTTGGCGCCAGAGGGCGATGTTGCGGCGGAGCCGCGTCGAGAAGAACTGATCCCCCGGGAAAGGAGGGGGGGGTGGGGGCGGGGCCCAACGCCGGCGGGGTCCCCTCGGGGGATGGTGGCCTTGGCGTGGGGACATGCCCGCTGACTCGCAGCTTCGTAAGGGCGGCTGCGATCGCCCGGAGCTCCGCGGGGGAGCTCATGCAATGTCTTGGAAGGGGTTGCCAGACGGGGCCGGGGAAGAACCGCCGGCACCGGAGCCCCGTCTGCGACCGCCGCGATTGCCCGACCGGCCACGCCCTATCCCACGTTGGCTGGAAGCTTGAGAACCGGAGCCGCCAGTGCCCCGACCGTCGCGTCGTCCGCGAGCAGCCCCCTCAGCCTGGACCTTGAGGGTGGATTTTTGGATCTGGGCGCGGATCGCTTCGGTAGTGGCCGCCTCCAAAGTCGTTTGGTAGCGGGCTTGGGCACCGGCCAACTGAATGTTGGTATGGAGGCTCTTGTAGGCTTCAGACAAAGGGGTGCTGGCGTAGGACGCTTGATTGCGGCGCACAGCCAAGGTAGCAGAAGCGAGGTCGGTAACGTCGGCGTAGAGGGAGACGAAGGGCTCCAAGGCGGCCTTGACCTCCAGTGGAATGGACTCGTGGGCCACCAGGGCGATAAGGCGGATCTGTAGATCGAAGAGAAACGAGACCACCGGCGCCCAATTCGCGTACTCCGCGAAATAGCCCGATCGGTGGCCCAAAGCTTGAGCCACAGTGATGCCGTCGGCGGTCTGCAGAACGTCGAACCACTTGCCGAACTGGGAGGGTGGGCGGGGAACGGGATTGTTCCTGGCCGGTTGAATGTTCTCGCCTGATCGCAGGACCAACAAGTCGGCGAGCGTAGGGGAGAGAGGAGCCGCAAACCGTTGGGCCAGAGCCTGCAGACGATCTGCGACCTCCTTGGCAGCCAATTGGGCGCGAGATTGCTCAGACAAAGCCGCCCGCTCCGCCGGATCCGCAGCTCCCGAAGATGATGCAACACCAGGCAGTTGGCCCAACAAGGTCTGAAGGGCCTTGACGACCTCCTCAGGGTCGACAGGCATAGGAGCGTCGGCGATGGCCTACTCCAGAGGTGCGGAAAAACACGGGCAATGGCCCGGCGCAACAGATCCTTTCCAAGGATCGAACACAATGCCGATGGGACCGGCTCGCTGCAACGCGACACGCAGTTGGAGCGAGAAAACGAAGTGCAGTATGGCTCCTGACAGGTCTCTTAGGCGGCGCTGCCACTCGCGACCCACTCGGAGCCGTTGGAAGTCGTCCCGTCATGCTTGTCGGCCCCAAGGTTCCCTGCCGCCACAGCCTGCGCGCGCTTCTGCCAGGACGAGAAGACAGAGCCAGCCGAATCACCGGTGAGTCACTGGAATTCTCCCACCCTATTTCCGGGCCTACCGTAACCTCGCCTACTATGCGTAACCTACACAACCCCACTCCCCACATATGAACGGTCTGCAGGTCCTTACTTGTAAGTTCAGCACTTTTGTACATATACCCCCCTCGCAGGCGGCCCCCCCGCCACCGGGGCACAACCGACGACGATGCGGCTGCCGGGGCTGCTCCCCGTCCTGGCCGCCCTCGCGCTCGCCCTCCGCTGTGCCGCCCACAAAACCCCCCTCCGCGGGCTGGACCCCGCGCTGGCGCACCACTACACCGGCCGCAATGACTCGTTCACCTGCATCGACGGCGCCCCGACGATCCCGTTCGTCCGCGTGAACGACGACTACTGCGACTGCCCCGACGGAAGCGACGAGCCCGGGACGTCGGCATGCCCCGTTGGCCGCTTCCATTGTCGCAACAGGGGCCACGTGGCGGCGACGATCCCGGCGGCGTTCGTCGATGACGGGATCTGCGACTGCTGCGACGGATCCGACGAGATCAGGGGCTGCCCGAACAAGTGCATCGAGCACGGAAAGCGGGTGCTGGCTGAGCTGAGGGGGAGGCTGAAGGCCTATGAGGTGGGCTTGAAATTGAGGGGGGATCACATCGGCGCCAACCAGGGGAGGCGCGGGGAGTGGGAGAGGGAGGCGGCCGATCTTGAGGCCAAGTTTGTGGGCCAGGAGAAGGCGGTGGAGGCGGCCAAGGCCAAGAAGGCGGAGCTGGAGATGCTGGAGCACGAGCGGCGGGAGGCCGAGAAGGCTGCCGCGGATGGACCCCCGGGATCTGGGGGAGAAGGGGAATTGGGCGAAAGTGTGGTGGTCGAGGGAGGCGGGAAGGGGGCTGGTGGCCCGGGGGCGGGGCAGGGCCAAGGAGAGGGCGAGAGCGGTGACGGCGGCAGTGGGGAAGGGGGGGATGCCGAGGATGGCGCAGAGGAATTTGTGGTTGGGAAGGAGGGAGACGGGGGAGCTGAGGCTGGGGTTGAGGGCGAAGGGGATGGCAAGGCAGGCGGGCTGGAGGGGGAGATCGAGGAGGAGGAGGAGGACGATGATGAGGAAGGAGAGGAAGACGATGGGGGCGACGATGGTGAGTACGCCACCCCCGACCCTCCTCCGCCATCGCCACCGCCAGCACCGGCACCTGCCGACCCCAAAGGCCATCTGGAGATACGGGGTGGGTTCCAGGGCTGGATGCAGTGGCTCTTCAGCCCCATTAAGCCACTCTTCGGTGCGTTGCGTGCAGGCAGCGGCTCGGGGGATGAATCCAAGGGGAGGAACAAACCGAAGAAGGAGAAGACGGAGGTACAGAAGGCTCAGGAGGAGGTGCGAAAGGAGGAGCGGGAGATGGACAGACTGTCGAGAGAACTGGACGAGGTCAAGACAAAACTGGACAGGGACTATGGCCCTGAAAATGAGTTCCTCTACCTGGCTGGCAACTGCTATGACGCCGTTGAAAACCAGTATACTTACTCCATCTGCCCCTTTGACAAGGCCACGCAAAAAGAGGGCTCGCATTCGACAAACCTTGGGAGGCACAGGGGCTTCGAGGACGACTATCGCAAGCTTGTGTTTGACAAGGGTCAGAAGTGCTGGCAGGGGCCGGACAGGAAGATGGTTTTGAGTCTCGAATGTGGTGCTGAAGAGAAGTTGGTGGATGTTCAGGAGCCAAGCAGATGTGAGTACTCTGCCCGGCTTCAAACGAGTGCTGCCTGCAGCAATGTCGAGCTTGCAGCAATCAAGCAGCAGGTGGCAGAACTAGAAGCCCAACTCGAGGGCCACGACCCCACTGAACTGTAGCACGAGATGATCCAATGGGAATTCCCTTGCAAGCTACTTGTGATGCTTTGGAAATAGGATTAGGCAGGAGAACAGTGGAGCTGTGGATGCAAGACACATAGAATCACTTTGCCAAGCTGTGGTGACTGGGACCTTGGCATATTTAACGCAAATCCAACCAGTTGCGGTGCTTTGTGATGGTAATTGCAGCTATGCTCCAAACAGTGACACACAAGTCGTTGAGTGCAGCATCCACAAATCCAAACAACTCAACGACTTCATAGCACCACCAGTCTTTGTTTGCAACGCCCGTGTGACGTTTCGTGCTGATTCATTTCGAACTGCTGGACAGCAGTTCGGCACACTTGGGTGAAGACAGACCAGACACATTGGCATGGGTCAACTGAATCAATCTGAATTAGGTTAATAATTCCACACCAAATCGTCAAATATTTTGACACCGCTCTGTCCCCATAGTCGCCAATGATACATCTACTCCCTCCAGCTGCCAAACTTCCCACCAGCCATCAGAATAAAGAATCCCCGGCCACTAAGGCCCAAACGCACAGGGTACCATACAGCCCTCAAACACGCACAAAAACTCTTCGCCGCCAAAGGCCACATGGCAGAACAAGTAAAAAACTGGGGCGCTGCCAACGTCCCGTAAACCCTCAGCACAGTGTGCAAGGCCCCTTCCACATTACGCGATACCAGACGTCGTCTGCGAAACGTTGGCGATCATCTTCTTGTCTCCATTGAGCACGGCGATCGACCCGTCAGCATCCACGTCCATGATCACAGAGTCGCCTTCCTTGATGTCACCAGCCAGCATCCTCTCTGCCATCGAGTCCTCGAGCAGCCTCATGATCGAGCGCCTGAGAGGCCTCGCGCCATATGCGGGATTGAACCCCTCGTCCACCAGCCTGTCCTTGAACCTCTCTGTCACCTCCAGCTTGATGCCCTTCTCCTCGCTCCTGAGGAAGACTTCCTTGAGCATTATGTCAGCGATCTGCTTGACCTCGCCTTTGGTAAGCTGGCGGAAGACAATTATCTCGTCCACGCGGTTGAGAAACTCAGGTCGGAAATATTGCTTCAGCTCCTCATTCACGAGTGTCTTGATGCGGTTGTAGCTGCCGCACAGCGCACACAGAGCAATGACCATAGGGAGCAAGCAGTGTGCATCCAAACTGGCAAACGAATTTGTCATTCAAGTGAAAGCAACATATGGCGGCAAAACCCATAAACCCACATCTGTCTGTTAGCTGCCTCTCTTGGGAAAAATTCAGAAAATTGGAGCAGCATTTTTATAACTATACACTTGACAACCAGGCAAGAATATTACCGTTATGTATAGGAAAGCACACAGCAACACCTACAGGCAATGTTAATGAGCCTCCGTTCTCCATCTGCACAGCTGCATTTGCTCAATTTCAAGGCAACACGGACCACCAACGTCAGATAATTCAGCAGCTGCAAGACCCAACCCGCACCAGTGCACCCACCTGCTGTCCTCCTCATCGACGTCCAGCTGGAAGCCGATCTTTCCACCGCCCTTCTCGATGACGCTGCTGCCCACGTTGCTGGTCATGATCAGCAGCGTGTTCTTGAAGTCCACAGTCCGGCCCTTGGAGTCGGTGAGCCGGCCATCCTCCAGGATCTGGAGCATCATGTTGAAGACATCGGGGTGCGCTTTTTCGATTTCATCAAACAGGATGACCGTGTATGGCCGCCTGCGCACAGCCTCTGTCAGCTGGCCTCCCTCGGAGTAGCCCACATACCCAGGCGGGGAGCCGATCAGCTTGGACACAGTGTGCCTCTCCATGAACTCGGACATGTCCAGCCTGACCATCGCATCCTCTGAGCCAAAGTAGTAGGCGGCCAGCGTCTTGGCGAGCTCAGACTTGCCAACACCCGTGGGGCCTGAGAATATGAAAGAGGCGATGGGCCTGTTGGGGTTCTTGAGGCCGACGCGGGCACGGCGGATGGCCCGGGAGATGGCAGTGACTGCCTCCTCCTGGCCAATCACGCGCTTGTGCAGGGTGTCCTCCATGTTAATCAGCCTTTCTGTCTCGTCACTGGAAACCTGGGAACGACACCACTATTCCAATCAATACTGCCTGTCAAGGCAGAAGGGGCCACCCCAAAGGCACTTGCGCAGGTGTGGGCACAGGCACAGGAGGCAGGGGTCATGCTCAGCTGCACAGGCAGTGTGCAACAATCACCCGGTGGATGGAAATCAGCACAAGCAATTGGCATCCAGGCTACAATGCTCTCCATCGGCTGCCAAGGATTGCACCATCCGTGCTTGCCCTGCTTCTCAGCTAACGAAAACAACTCCAATCTGCAAGACATCTTGCAACTGTGCAAGGGAACAACGTCACCCTAAGGTTAAAAGTCAGCTTTGATACAAGTCGGCAGAGAGCATGTGTGCAAGGGCCAGTCGCACCTTCTCCACAGGGATTCCAGTCCACTGAGCAACGATGGTGGCAATGTCTGACTCAGTCACCACTGGGCCGCCAGTGTCACTGCTCTCAGCCTCAGCCTCCTCACCCTCCTTGGAGCCCGCAGTGATGGCCTGAATCTTTGCTTTCAGCTCCATCTCACGGTCACGCAGCTGGCCTGCCTTCTCAAAATCTTGTCCCCTGGAAGGTAGTTCACAAAGGTTGTCAGGACACTTGCAGTGGTTCGATCCAATCACTTATGGCAGACATTCTTCCTTAGATCAAAGCTGAGTGCGATCCATGCTGATGTATACATAGCGCTGCAGGGCACTTCAGGGCATCAACGATTGTCGGTTCCAGGAACATCAAAATTCTGCCCCAGAGATCAATAATCATACAACTTCCCATCCAAACCCAAACTAACACCATAGTGATCCTGCTGACAGCATCCCCAATAGCTGCTTGATGGCTTTGCACAGGACGGCACCAGCTTACAGGGTACTGAAATCGGTGTCAGGGAGTGAGATGATGCAAGTGCGTGCCAGCCGGAAGAATGTCTCAATATAAGCCCCTAGTAGACAAGGGCTACACCTGGCTGGGATAGCTTTCTTTAGATACAGTGGCCTCCTGCACCAGGGCTTTAAAACCCCACCCAAAATGCTCTCTCCTGAGCCATCCTGCTGCACCAGTTGATGCATACCTGACAGCCGCATCTTTCTCCTTCAGCAGTGCCCTGAGTTCCTTGTCCAAATCACGTGCCTCCTCCGGCAACTGGGCATGCCTCAGCCTGACTCTGGACCCAGCCTCATCGATAAGGTCGATGGCTTTATCGGGCAAAAACCTGTCGCTGATGTACTGTGACGAGTATTGCGCTGCCGCCTCAAGGGCCTCATCCGTGTATGTGAGCTTGTGATGGGCCTCATACCGCTCGCGCAGCCCCTTGAGGATCTGCTCTGTTTCCTCTACAGTGGGCTCTGGCACCTGGACAGGCTGGAAACGCCTGCAACGATGCATGTTGCTGATGTCACCACCTTTGCTCGTTTGACATCCAAGGTGTATGACAGACGGCAACAACCATGCCCAGCGCTGACACCACGGCAAGTATTTGGGAAATTGGGGATCATCGCCAAAAGAATGGCAAATGACAATAGACAAAAGACCAAAGATTGAATAATATAGCACCTACACTACCACCCACCATCTGCTGTGAATAGCAGCCAGCTCAACAGTGTACTCCAATACAACTGCAGTGTGGCAGTCATTGCACAGCATCTACGATGTTTCACATGTTGAAGCCATGGACAGCACCACACAATACCCAAAAGGAAAAAGATTGTCTCCCCAGACTATGGCTCTTCAGTGGCCTTACCTCTCCAGTGCAGGGTCTTTCTCAACATGCTTCCTATACTCATCCAGGGTGGTGGCACCTATGCACTGCAGCTCACCGCGTGCCAGCGCAGGTTTCAGGATGTTCGCGGCATCGATGGCACCCTCAGCTGCACCAGCACCAATCAGAGTGTGCACCTCGTCGATCATCTGTAGGGGGCCACAAGTCATTATCAGTATGCCAGCTATGTGGTAAACTGCCCTGCATCAGTCAACTCAGCAACCTTAAGACAACCATATCCTTCCATATAGGGAAGTGAGTCTTTGATTGTCATCGAGCTTCCAGTACGCCGCAAGGCAGGTTGGGTGAGCCAATCACAAAACTATCCAGAAACCAGCACTGTGGCCGCAGAAAGCGTCAATCGTCACATTGTGCCACCAAGACCACACTCTTCGCCACAGTGTGCTATCCCCATATGCACAGGGGAGAGTTTTGAAGATTTCGCACTCAGCGAGGGACGCCCAACGCAAGACAGCTCAATGTGCAAGCTCCCTTGCCACAAGCACTTGGCAAGAACATGATTTTTGCTTTTCACTTTGCTTCAGGGGCCATACTCTGGTATCAACAGCTTCATGCATCTGGAACCTCAAATGATTGTTGTTAGCATACAAGTTGAGCCCCCTACTTCTGTGGGGCACTGGAACACATTTACTTGGTAATATCTTCGTTTGTATGACCACCACCTGATATCATCAGATGCAACTTTGTCATGTTTCCTGACAAATGTATCATTGTCTGTGTCATTATCTGGCCTGCTTTCTTGAGACCTGTGCATTTGTCGGCTTTGGTTTAAGTGGGGACTGGTTTGCTTTTGAGCAAGAATTTTGAAACTGGCAACTTAACATTTTCTGATACCCTGCGTAGCACAGCCACACGCCATCACCAGCGCATTGCTTGTTACCTTGCCTGCAAGGATGTATTCTGATATCCTGACAAATGCAGCCTCCAAGGAAATTACTGGAGGAGCTCAACAGGCATAACAAGACCAAGCCCTTGCACCTCGGAAGGCAAAGCCATTTGCAGCAGCAGTCACTGAGTGCGTATTGATTTCCACACGCAAGTGTGCGGCCCAGTGCATGTGCAACTCACCAATATTATCTCGTCGTTCTGCTTAATCTCCTCCATCAGCTTCTTCAGCCGCTCCTCAAACTCGCCACGATACTTGGTTCCCGCAACAAGCAGGCCCATGTCCAGAGTGACGACCTGAGGGGGTATGTGCACAATGAAGCCAGAACATTGTGGCCACTACATTCTGGAAGTGCCTTCCCAAGTGCAGAAGAACACAGCCAAACAATGCCAACTTGCGGAAAGGACATTCTTGTCTTGTTGCAAATGTAGCGGACAAGAGGACTTATGTGTGCCACAGCTGGAGCATTGTGCCACGCTGTTTGCATAAGGATGTTTCAAGACAAAGATGTACCACTGCAGCAAACCCCTCTCCCCTTTGGGGATCTGGTGATTTTGTGAGACTGGTGTCCTCAACCGAGTGGGGTAAGACAAGCTGAGCTCGTCACTGAGCTCGTCACTGGTAACACATAGCACGGGCCATGGTCCATTAGGAATTCCTTGTTTAAACAACAGGCATGCATAGGTAGAAAACGCAAGAAAATCAATAGAAGAAGCGATCATTTTCTGTCTGGGGGCACCAAGATGTGCAACAAGCTGCTTTTCCCACTCTCCCGCCCCTTTGTTCATTTCTCAAAATGCACAAATAATTGAGAAGCGATTGTAGCTCAGGGTAGATGACCCACAGACAACGTACGATGGAACAAAAATGCCAAGCACCACACTGGGTAAACATATTTGGCATTGTTATGTCTCATGATGCAAAGTTAATCTTTCTGGGCTGTGGATCTATTCAGGTAACATTCATCACCCTGACAGTAGGCCTGCTTCAGCCCCCGTCCACAATGTACTGTCAAGGTACAAAACCACAATGCAGCCTTGCATCACCCAAAATGGTTCATGATATTGTGGTACTTCGTATGGCCAACGCTTCATCACGTGCACAAAATTCCTACATCAGGCAACAAAATGAATGCAAACAACGTGGAAAATGAAACTACAAGGCCACATTCCTGACTGGCTTCCCCACGCTCTCCACTCATGGAGCGATTGCACCTGTTTGCAACTTGCACAGCCGCCAACGTCCTATGTGCAAAGACCGGTGGGATTGGCCATTGGTGAATGACCAAAAGATGGCCGCTTCAACAATTGCATCAAATGTGGACATGCCGGGAGACTGAGATTTTGCACAAGGGGGCATGTGATAAGCCCGTGGAGGCAGGAATTGGCACAAATCGTGTTGCACATGTCTGCACATGATAAGTGAATGTGGTCAAGTGCAAGGAATCACAGGGGACATGAACTGGCAGGTGCTTGACAGGTGAATGATCACACCGTCTTGCCCTCGATGGTCTCTGGCACATCGCCCGCGGCTATCTTCTGCGCAAGGCCCTCCACAACAGCAGTTTTCCCAACACCTGGCTCGCCAACGAGGCAGGGGTTGTTCTTTGTGCGGCGACCCAGGATCTGGATCACCCTGCCAATCTCGTTTTTCCTGCCAACGACCGGGTCCAGCTTGCCCTGCAAATGCACAGATGTTGCTGCAGTCCAAATTGGCTGAATGAATACATCCTTGCAACCAGCACGAGCGTTCGACACACTGGCCACCTCTCGCATCGGCTGAACCTAGGTTTGCCCTGGTTCAAAGGCCTTACAATGCTCAGCAACAAGCCAAATTTGTGACATTATTCAAAATCCAATGCACTCTCTTTCCGCGCATCGAGCGATGACAGGCACATGAACGTTGACATGGTCTACACATGATGTTGGCATGTATGTGGCTCACACGCAGTCCACATGAGACTGCCATCCAAACAAGGCAGTCAGTCAATAGAACGAGAATGTCTGCCATTCTTTCAGGTCGTGCATGTGGGTGATGCGCAGAATTGCGACTTTGGGACATTGAGTGAAGGTTGATTTGATCTTTCCACGCCATCGATCCCAATACATGACAAGACAACCAATGTACGGTCTGTCTCTGCGACAAGGGCAGCAGAGATTGCCATCCATGTGCAAGCCCGCTAACAAACAGAGCATATGTAGCTGCTTCAGGCCACTGGCTTTTGCAGCCAATCGAAGCAGTGTTAACTCCCAGTTGCTGGCTAGCCATCAAGCTCACCTCTTCCGCAAGTTTGGTGAGGTTCGTCCCATACTCCTCAAGAGTGGGCATCTTGTTGCTGCCAGTTGATGCACCGCCAACACCAGCCCCAACGACCTCCTGGCTCTCGCCAACCATGCGGATTACCTATGCACAAAAACACAGCCAAATGATCACAGGAACATCGCAGCTGAAGTTAGTAAAGACAGCATGGCAAAAACTCCATAAGCCCAGGGATCTGTCGAACAATATCCACACGGAACATGCTTACTTTAGATTTGCTTCTAAAGTAGCTCTCTCTTGCAGGGCAGTATTTTCGCATGTCACATCGATGTCGCATCTTGTCTCATCACCACTGGCAAGCAATACTTTCTGCAAGGATGACATACAGACAAAACCCAGAAGATGGGGCATCCGTGTTGTTTCGACTCCATACATTTGAATTTGACAACATCTGCATGCCAATGCCCAAGGACAGTGCATTTGCCCTGAACCCACAAGCCCAAGATGGGGCAATCCCATCTGTTGTAATGCATGGTTGTGATGTATCCTTCCACACCAGATGGCCAAACACAGAAGTCACACTGCATGTTGTTAGCATTGCCGACGCAAACCCATTGGCTAAGCATCGACACTCACCTGGCTCCGGATCCTCTGTTGGTCGGCTCCCAGCGTCTCCAGCACCCTGGCCGCCACGCCCTCGCCCTCGCGGAGCAGCCCGAGCAAGATGTGCTCCGTCCCTATATAGTTGTGACCTGCAAAACCCAACCAAAATTCCCCATCAGCCAACAGGCGCACAAGCCCCCCGTGCACATGAGCCACATCCGCCCAAGGCCGCCGCTTTCGCCGCCGCCTGCCCTCCAACTCGCGCGGCCAGCCCCCACACAAACGAGAAAAGCTTGCGGCAAAAATTCGCACCCATCAATGGACAATTAATCGTCCGCGCTCACCGAGTTGCCTCGCCTCGTCCAGCGCCAGTTCCAGCACCCTCTTGGCGCGCGGCGTGAAGGGGATCTCCACGGCCACGAACCCGCTCCCCCTGCCGATGATCTTCTCCACCTCCACGCGCGCGTCCTTCAGGTTCACGCCCAGCCCCTTGAGCACCTTGGCCGCGATGCCCGTCGACTCCCCGATCAGGCCCAGCAGGATCTGCTCCGTGCCCACGAAGTTGTGCCCCAGCCGTCTGGCCTCCTCCTGCGCCAGCATCACCACCTTGATCGCCTTCTCCGTGAAGCGCTCGAACATCATCTGCGTCACCCGCCGGAAGCCCTTCTTCCCCGTCGTCGCCACGCCTCCAAATGCTTTCGCCGCCCCCGACGAGGATGTGGGCCCGCTGAGGACGTCCGTCGATCGCCGCATGCCTTCGAAGATGCGCAGCTCGGTGGGCCGGTGGCTGGCGCGAGATCCACCCCACATCGCTGTTGGGCGGCGCTCCGATTCGCCATTCCGCTTGGCATTGCCCCGCGCGGCCGACGGGAGGTTGAACTGGGCCGGGACGTTGAGCGCCGACATCGCGTCGAGGGCTTCGACCGGCGGTGGCCGCGGGCGGGTGGGTGTGGGTGGGTGGGTGGTTAGGGAACGCCCTGGGTTAGAGGGGCTGCGTTCGAGGGCTGGAGCGCCACTCACGCACGGCCCGCCTGCAACGGCGCCCACACCGGATGAGGGTGCCGCCCGGCAAATTGATATGACGACTGCGTTGTAGTGCATTGGCGCAGTTGCTAATGGTTTGTCGTGTATAGGGGTTTGTTGCGTGGGATGCCACTTCGGGGTTGAACTATCCCCTTCCTGTTGGCCCTGGCCAGTTGGTTTGGCAGCGCAGCGGGACATCCCATCAGAAGTACCCAATTCGATCCCCGGTTCGGCCATCCTCTTCACCATCGGCACTAAAACAGGGGCGAGTTCTGTGTGCCAACTGGACAGCGTTCTTAGCATCATCGACCATGACTACTGTACAGCAAAGCAACCCTTGTCTTCTCAATCAGCACTCGGTTTCGCACAGTGTGATTGCTCTAGTTGAGCGCGAGCGACACGAGACAGCTTGTGCATAGACTGCTGTCGACAGGGTGTTGTCGACATGGGCAGTCAGACGGGGAAATGTGGTGGGCCAAGCGGCCCATTACCAGCTGTGCCACCTGCAGCTCTATCAATTTGCTGGCTCCCACGCGTGGCGGCAGAGCAGACTGCTCCAGGCCCTTTGTATCACCAACCAAAAAACAAGCTGGGAAATAACCCGGATGGAATGTTTAAACAGCTCACCCAAAAGAAGGCCGCTGGCGTTGCAGTGTGTCACTGGCGTCCATTTTTTCCCATTCGTCCATTCGCTACAAGTCGCATGCGCTGGTTTGTTGCGCCAGATGGCCTTGTTCTATCGCACACTTTTCCAAGCAGCACAGAAGACACATGGCTTGTTGATTGTGCACCGGGTGCTATCAGTAGTCGTTGACGCGATCGTGTTCATCACTTGACCGCATTCTCCTGCTCGACCGCATGCAAGGCGACGGTGTGAAATGCCTGAGAATTGCCTAGCTTTCTGACCCAAATTTACTCACAAACTTAAGCCAGGAGATATCCCGGGAGAATACAGCAGATGGTGATAAACTGCCACTGAGGAAAGAGGCGGTTGTGACTGCCACTTGTGCCCTGCCAGTGGCATCATTCAATACTTTAAAGCGCGTTCCAACAGGTTCCAAGTAACATGTTACAATGCCGCTTGCACGGCCTGCATGGACCATCATCTCCCCTGCCCTCAAGTGCATGTCCCCTTTCGAACTGCTTCAAGCACGGAACTCTTCAATTCACTGAATTGTGGCACAGGTGCAGGCCAACACTAGCGAAAAAAGGACAAAATAACACTTTTTGCGAAAGCACACACATGCATTTCATCAGCGCTCTGAATGCTAGAAACGCGAAAATGACCCAAAACCGTAGACTTTGCACACATTTGAACACGTGTTGTTTGGCCATTTTTTCCTAGTGCCACCAACCAATTCGGCACATCGGCGGAGGATGACGGCTGCCGCCCTTTCTAGGAAAACGCGCACCTTTAATGATTAAAGTTTCATCCAGCCGCAGGTTAGGTACTGGGGCGCTCAAATGTGATGCAACATGATTAAATTGGAAATCTGCTGTTTTAATTAGAGTTGCAAGTTGTCGCAAGTACATATGCTCGTGCCAGCTTACAAGCTGCCACATTCAACTCGATTCCAAGCCAGTGTGCTCTTTTAATGAGGATGGAGAATATTCGCAATGACGTCGCCACAGACAATTAGGGAGCGCAATCCGTCGATCGCGTTCTAGCCGGGCATAGCCATCTGAAATGTTTCTGTGGCCTAAATTTAATTCTATGTACTACATGGTTGCGGCGCTGCGTGCATGCCGTATTGTTGCGTGGAATCCACGGAGCGTAATGCACAACAAGAAATAGCTACCTTTGCAATGTACATGCATCAAAATGTTCAGAGCTACGGACACATTTCAGGCGGCTTTCCAAGTACGACAGATTTAATATGAGTTATTGAAGTCATGTTGGGTCTTCACGGCGTAAACACTGAGTGTTTGTGTGTATTTGCGCTGAGAAAAACGTAAATTTGACAAGGTGTACACAAAGACAGTACATGCAGACTCAGAGATTCCGGGGAGTGGCAGCTAAATGCGCTGGAGTTGGCAGAAAACGGCCTTTTGTTCGACCACGCCGTTGCCCTTGCAGAAAGTGAGGTGGAAGGTATGTTATGGGTGCTCGAGGAGGTGGACGACTGATCACTTTTTTCGACTTCTTAATGCGACCTGGGCGTGTCGACGAGCCGTAAACATAGCCGCAAAAATTGCCGTTGTTGCAAATCGACGTTTTGGCGTGTAAAATTGCAAACCTAAAAATATTAAACGCAAACGTAAAGACCAAGCACGATTGCAGTGTTGTCGTATGAGCTGCATAGACACTGTATGCACGTGTGCTTTGGGATGTTTGTCTCAGTATATGTGCGTATATTAGCGCACTCAACTATTGCCCGGAAATTCGGAGCGCTGAATAGCTTTGGCCATAATTCGACCATTCCAGATCAGCCAAATCGCAGCTGAGGCATTGGCCTTCACCACTTGGCCTCAAGGCACGCAGAAGCTCGCATAGGCTCGGACCCAGCTCACCCGATTGGACACACGAAATCAAGGGACTCACGCGAACACCGCCCCAATCCCCAGGGGATCCCAATCCAGCATCCCAGCCCTCAAAACCACCGCCGTCAGTCAGTACAGCAGAGAGGGGGCTGCCCCCAGCGACGCGCAGCTCTCCGTTGGGCCCCACTGCCCGCCCGCTCCGGCCCACGACCTCCTCGCCTTCCACACCGTCAGGGCCTCCTTGTCCCCCCTGAAGGGGCTCCCGCACTTGACCGACCGCTCGTGCAGGTCCGCCCGCGAGCGGCGCTCCTGGGCGTCCACCTCGCGTGCCCTGCGCAGGGCGCGCCCGCCCGCCGGGCTCAGGGGCCCACGGCCGCCGCCGAGGCCGCGAGGGGACAGCCTGGCCAGCCTTCCGTCCGCGGCGCTGCGGGCGACGATTGGGTTGAGGCGGCGCCGGGGGCCGGGCGTGGGTGGGGATGCGAGGGCTGGGGGGGGTGGTGGCTCGGACGATGTCGGCTCACTGCCACATGTTTCGCCCTCGGCAGGGGCAACGCGGCCAGCGGCGGCTGCGTAGGTCTCTGGAGTGTGGCGGAGTGCGCTGCGGAAAATTGCACCTGAGTGTAAAATTGTGGAAGATATTTTCTGGCAGATTTTTAAGCACTTGGATTGTATGATCAGAAAATTGCGTTCAGCGTGGGAGGCTTTATGTGCATAGCTTGCAAAAATAATCCCAACGTCGGGGTTACCGTTCATTTGAACAAGGCTAGGGACATGCAATTCGGTCCCGTGTCAACACACGGTGCGTTCCGCATTCCTGTGCTGTCTCAGGGCTCCCCCTATAGCTTCCATTCTGTGTGAGGAAAAGGGGGATTTTAGCCCTGCATGCATGTGTAATTGACATTTGACACACGGTGCGTTATGACGCACTGTATTTGTGATGCTGTCGGGTGCATGTCAGAAATTCAAACTGAGTCGATGTGATTTGATTACCTTCCTGTTGGCTTTGCGGGGAGCATTATACCCGAATAAGTTTTGGGTCAGCCTATTGGAAAGGCGATGGAGGCAGGCCATGAAGCGCCCACACCGTGCGTGGGCCACATGCGTGTGTGTGTGCGTCTGTTGAAAAGACACACAATGCAAGACCTTTGCCGCCTGATAAATGTTCTGTCGTGGTGAAACATCTTGCTGATTGTGGCGGCTGTATTAACACAAAATGGAGGACGTGATTCTGAATCAAGTGCTGAATCAGCACCTGATCAAAAATTAAACCCCTTCTTTCCTTTCGAACAATGGGTCAAGTAAATCCACTCTTCGCTCCAAGAGGTGTGTGCTCTGATGTTATATTTTGAATACAGTCCGATGTTTTGATTGGTTGAATTAAAAACTGTTCTACTAGGTTACGTATTGTTAGTGACATAATAATTATTCCTTTCCAGGGAAGAATCTTGTGCCTACGTTTGTGGGGGTTTACCGCCTGGAGGTGTGTCTACGGTGTGGCGTGCTTTTCCCCTGTAGCACACCCTCCTGTACCACGATTGGATTACCAACACCGCTTCGCCACGTTGCTTGGCTTCCTCTCTTGCTTTAAAGCGCACAATGTGCGCTCTGAAGGCCTTCTGTATATTCAAGGCTGCAGCCTCACGCTTCTCATGCTCGAGTTTCTGTCTCAGGTGCCTTCTGTGCTCTGCAGCACATTTGACTTTGACGAAATTCCGTCTGGCGAGGAAGGCCCTGAAAGGTCACCTGAATCTTTATGTCCCAGCAGCTGTCGACGGATGATGGTCGACAAATATTTCAGCCATGTTGGTGCTTATAACACAATGTTTTAGTGAGCAAGATCAGCAGCTTTTTTTGCTAAACTACTCACGAACATTATCATATTCAGCAGCGTGATTACTGAACTCGGAGGTAGCTGGAAGAAACATCTAATACGATCATGTAGGAAGCTATGGAGATGACAACTGCTGATACTCGTATAATCCGATGTTAATAATCGCAGCGGAAGTCCATGAGAATGAATGTGAGCATATTACACAAGAAATTTCTAGGGTGTTCCTAAACATAGTGTTTGTGCAGTTTGCAAGAGGTCAATTGCAAAAATTCCAATTCATGAAAAACCCGGGTGCTGCTCGAACATTGCAAAGATGGAAACCAGTACAGAATCCGGAAAGAACGGTGATCAAGTAACGTCATTGAAATCTTGTTCTGCGCCAAATATGCTGCAGATGGACAAATCAAATGGCAAGAAAATGTAGAAATGCATCCAATCGATGGCATCTGGCATGCATCGTACACGGAGGAAAGCTTCAGAAATTGAACCTGAAGATAAAGCACCTCCTTCACTCTGTCTTCATAAATAGTGCAAAATTGGACAGAAGGTATTTGCAAGGCACGGCATCCATTCCGCGGGCTGGCCCCAAATTCACACATTGCACAGTACTCGACGAGGAGACATCGCGAAAGACATCCGGAATGTCGGCAAAGCAGCATTCTTACGGAAAATTAAGTCGCAAGAAATGCGCAAGTCTATGCAAGATATTGTCTGCCAGTTTGAGGGAAGTCATCACGAGCAGCTTTGCTGATGTCAACTAAGAGACTACACTACATTACCTAAAGTGTGCCTGTATGCGAGTCGCGGCTCTTGCCGCAATCTTGGCGTGCGCAGCCATTCGAGCACCCCTCTGTCGGACTGTGTGGCCCCTCCAATACCGTTGGATAGTGACAGCGGCCCAGTTCCCCCACATGGCAGCGTAGCCTTCCCAAACTGCAGCGACCCGTTTCCCAGCCTTCCTGCCGACCTGGAGCACAAGTCGTGCCTCTTCCTGTCATCTGTATTGAAAAGGCATTTTGAGCAAATGGGATGCCCTATATCACGGGACACGAAGCGCCTGTCATGTCCTGTCCGACATTCGATTCACCTTACTAAGGTGGCTTGACGTAACTGTTTTGGCAAAAAAAATCCCACAATATGGTGTCGGTGGGTGTCGTTTGCATTTATTGATCAACGTAGGTAGTAGCGAGCCTCTTGATATTTTCTTTTCTGCACGGGCGCTTCTCCATTCGTCAGGCCTCGCGAAGGTTCTCCCGGTGGCAACTGGATAGTGCCTGGACCGTAGGCCAATTGTACGTGGAGCCAATATCCTGACGAACATCTGCACGTGGGCGTACCATTCACCCTACCACGGTGGCTTGTGTAAAGCTACTGTTTTACTTACAATTTCAGCGGCGGAACATTATAATGGCACTGTTGTTATTCAAATGTTTTCTGGCACAACGGCGCAACAAACTTTGTGTGGATGAATAATACGCGCACTAAAAAAACAAGGCTCGAATCTGAAAGCATTTGCACAGCACATCTCCGCACACCTCGGTATTACTGCTTGCGCGATTGGCGTGCAGGTGTTCAATTTTAACCCTCTTCGACGACTGGTGTCCTTTTCGGACAGTGGTATTGCATCCAGATGGCGTTGCTGAGCGGAACCTTGCCCCGCAATTCTTGGTTTGCTGGCGCGAAACCTTCCCTCCATCGGCCCGGAAGTTCTGGCGAGGACAATGCAAGTTGTGTGTCACATAGCGCCACAGGGAGTGAAATACTGCATCAGGAATTCGCACCAGAATGAAGTAATGAAGCACACAATGTCAAACACAGTGAACCACAACGAGCACGATGAAGCGCAATGAACCACGGCAGAAAAAGCACGGCTGCTTAGTGGCTGGGAGCCCCGTGTCCGAATTGTTTGTGAACGCAGTGATTTGTACCCAACGTAAAATTCGTTTCGTGAAATGTTCGGGAGGAACGAGCACCATGCTTGTTGCGGGCATTTTCCGTTGGAAAACGATGGAAATTTCCGGCGCATTACCAATCGAGCATGATTACCGGGTAGCCCGCCGCCGAGCATGTGACATTTAAATGTACGCATATGACGCCATCAGCAAATGTCCGGGGCACAATCTTCCTTTCACTATTTCGCTGCTGATCAAATGCCCTCATCAATCAGCGTACTGAAGTGACTGCGGCGTTCGCCTGCCGTGATATCTCGTATTTCGTCACCAGACTTCAAATGGGCTGGTTTCTACCGCTGGGGCAGCAAATCCGATAGGAATCAAATCGCAGTCAGCGAAAATCATCCATGGTGAAGTTTGAAAAAAAACAAAAAATATTAAAATTAAAAATAAAAAATAAAAAATATTATTTCCAGTGCTTCGTGGGTCTGCGCCCTTCACCAGAAACTTCCTGTATTACTTCTTGTTTGGGTCTACAGAACGGGTGACCCGTGCTCCGGGTTTCATAAACCATGTGCCTACAAGACCGAGTCGCACTTGGGCTTCTAATGCGCATGCCCGCCGTTGACAGCGACCGGGCCCACAGCTTCCGGAGTACCTGCAGAAACTCGTTCATTCGCTTGCACCTGTCCAGAACGTCAAGCGCCCGCCACTTGTCGCTCTGCCGCTTCCAGGCCTCGCACACTGCATGGCGGTAGCACTCCTCCGTTGCCAGGCGCCCCACCGCGGACCATCCTTTGCCGCTGCCTCCTACCCCGTGCACAGTCATGCCGCAGCGCAGCGGACTCCCCGGCGTTCGCTGCTGGGAACGGCTAGGCACGCGGGCGTGGGAGGCAGCATTGAGCCAGGGCCCGCTTTGGAGGCCTTCCGCGAGATGAGAAGTTGGTACTGTAGAAGTTGCGGTGCTTTCGGCACCTCATGCACCTCACGGGGTGGGCGGTATGGAACATCGTAAGTGCTGGTTTGGTGGTGGATTCTGAAGTCCCGTATGGTCTCTCAAGAATGATGTTCCGGTGCCAAATGGATTTGTGATTTTGGACCGTTCCTGGTGAAGATTCAATGGAGCCAACTGGGGCGGGTTCAACTTCACCTCATTGCATCATGTTCTTCGTCTGCTTGTTTCTACTCCACTGTGATTCTCTGAGCGGAAATGGGGGCGGTTTGTTTTGATTCTATTTTGTGGAGGCATCTGGCGGGGTACTGGATTTGAACATTGCAACCTTCCAAAGTCTCGGCTGAGAAGAATTGCAATACCTCCTAGTGATTCAGTGAGTGGCAGAGTGGGCTGCGATCCCGTACAACTCATTTGGAATTCATTATACAGAAAGTAATGTTGACATTTTGCTGGCATCGGCTTTCAGGACCAAATTAGGGAGCTTACACTCACCTACTTGCATTGAACCCCACTATTGATTCAATTGATTCATTCATACATTGATCCGTAGTCATGACTCACCGGTCATGATTTTGCGTTTTGTAGTTTTTTTCAACTCTGCGAGCATATTCATCCACAACAGCAAAACAATGTCAGGCACATGAGAATATGTCCTATGCCTTTCCACCATTCCCTGAATATCCAAGTATTAGGACTTGGAAATTCGAACCGATGCGGCAATCTAGCAACACTGATGCACTGCCAAGACAGTGATCCCGCGTCCATGTGTCCACAGAGCCACCCATGGATCCAGAGGACGATGCAAGAAACCAAGGGCTTAATGGCTGATGCACGTATCCAATGAACGCTGCCCCACAACGCATCTTTCGTGTGTGCAAACACTTTGGTCCAACTGGGACTTTCAGAGTCGGGATGCCTCAGCCAAAGGTAACAAGCACCCACAGGGCACCAGTATCCCGCGCAGCCGCACAACATGCGCACACTGGATCACAAGATCTGCTAAAGTCCTAGCGCTGTGGCTCTGCCACAAGACGATCGTTTACATATTGCAAGGTGTGACCCATTCACCGGAATCAGCACGATCGATGCCAGCATGCTGGATGGGTTCCCGCAGTCCATTCAACAATGGCGTCTCGGACCCACTTTCCATGACCCTGCCAAAATACCCCACTGGTCAAGGTAACAGCACATCAGAGCCACTAGCCCCCTTTGATATGGTCCACATGTGGGACTGCACCCTCAGCAACCCAGTCGCCTTACAAACGCACCCCACACCATCCAGAAAGATGTCGTGTGGCCAGAACGTGCCACATCTCACGACCTTGTGCACGTGTTGGGGCCACTGAAGGTCTGTGCTCTCCAAGTGCAGTGGCCTGTCCCACCAATGCCAGGCACAGGATGCAGGCCTTCAGTCCATCACATCACCACGAGCCCTATCCTGTAGTGCAGCCACATTCTCAGAGCATTACCTGGATGTGAGGTTCACATCGACCAGCCAAGCAAGTGCATGGATAGCATGTATTTATTGGTTGTCACAGTTGTACTGTGAACGCAATTTCTGGCAGTACTCAAGGACCACACAGCTCGATCTGTGCAAGAACGATGGTGCACATCATTCTGCTACAACAAAGTGCTCCCAAATCTGTTCAACATTGCTTGAAGCAAGTGACAATCGACATTCCTACTGTCAACAGCCACAGCACCACGTGTTGAACAGGTGACACCTTTTTTGCAATGCCTCCTCCATGGTTCGTATAAGATCTTCCTGTCCGGGCCCATGCAATGTGACCAAAGCATCCAGAGAAGCAACACAATAATTGCCCTTGCAATTCCTCCACAATGTGCGTAACAACTTCCCAATGTGGCTCATGCAATACAACAACAGCAAAAAACGCAAGAATGGGTGATGGTGCTGGCAATGCCCACAGTTTGTGCACAGCATCCTTCCAACCGGCCTCATGAGACCACTCGTTGCAATTTAACATGCACGTTCCAAGGCTGAGGCAAAGCCTCACACTCCACGGCCCCGCCAGCCAAAAGCCATGGTGTGTCTCCAGCCACAACCCACACACCTCTGCTAACATTGTGTGCTGCATGGCAGTTTTTATCATGGAGGCCATGATGCTGGTTTCTTGTTGTCTTGATCTTGGGGGACAAAAACTACAACAGCTATCAGCCGGGCATTGAGCTACTCAATTCGGCACAAATTACCTTCCGTCTGTTCCTTGAGTACTCGTCCAGTTCTGCATCCAGGTCTTCTCTTGTGCGCCCAAACCCACCAGCCCCTCCGCGCCCACGAGAATCACCATATGTATCACGCCTGGCAGCATGTAATTCGTCAGCTTTTGGACACAAGTCAGCAAATAACTACGAGCCCTTCGATACAAGTTTCTGCGGGTTGCTGCGAGGACCACTAGGCCTACTGCAGTCACAGTGGCCTGCAGGGAAAGCAACCATGATTTCAAACAAAACGAAGTCTGGTAGCAACGATTCTTCATACCAGAAAGAGCTCTATGAGGGCAAAAATTTTGAAATGCCACGCAACAGCTCCATGACCATTTGCGAAGTAACATGTAGTCAAAATGATGGTGGGCAAGGCACAGTTGTGGAGACACTGCGCAAGGTGGTCACTCTGGCACACACAACGCAACGCGTTGCATGTCCAGTGTACGTTGGCACAGGAAATTCAACACACTTCCCACCCAGCCTCCCAAGAGTAGCTCCAACAGCTTTCAGCCATGAACAGCCTCCAAGAGCAGCTCCAACAGCTTTCAGCCATAAACAGCCGCTCAATCATCTCTTCTTCCTTCAAGGGCGCCCCACCTGTGTCTTGGTGGAGACCTTGAGCGTGATCGTGACCTTCCCCTGTATCTGTCGTTATATCCACCTCCACCACCATAATCCTGGTACCTTGGCCCTCTGCTGTAGCCACCACCATATCCACCTCCCCCATATCCACCACCACCATACCCGCCACCACCATATCCCCCGCCACCGCCATATCCACCTCCACTGCCAACCCATCCGTGTCCACGAGGAGCATAGCCACCGCGTTGACCACCATCCATGCCATCCCCATACACCCTGCTGTCGTTGGTCTCCCTGTCCTCCCTGACGAGTATGGAGCGTCCTGCAGGGGCGACAGAGCTGGCTGTTCAGTGCTGGTATCCTCACAAACATTCTACAAGCTGTGCCAATCGGGAAATTGTGAAAGCTCATAAATATTTGCAACTCTTGGGCTGCAGCTGTCACAGAGCAAAGCCCTCCACTCAAGTTCAAATCTCTCCCTTGCGGTCAATACCCTTGCTCTGCATTGAACCAAAACCAAGTGTCGAAAGCCAAAGTTGCACATATAGTGCAACTCTCAAAAGCCCCAAAAATGCATCAACCAGAGTGTGAAACAGTGTTGAAGCGCAAGACTGAAAGCAACATCCTTAATGTGCCCTGCCCAACTACAGAGCCCAAGACCATTAAGCTTGGCAGGTTAGCTTATCAAGGTGATAATGCCCTGTGTGATCAAGGGATGAAGTGTGTGCTCTATGTTGCTTTGCAAAGGATGCTTGGGAGTCCTGTGACGCTGCTAACCCCACAGCACATGCATACAAGGTGAATGTGTGTGTCCACAACATGCAACGCGAAAATTGACACATTGGGGATAGCATGTGTCCCTACCAGCCGCATATCGTAAGAAAGCATCACTTCTGTTGCAAGCAATAATTTGTTAAGGAAACAAGACATTTCTGAATAGGAACACAATCAAGTCCAAATGTTCCACAGTTCTTCCGTTCTGTGTTGAAACTAATGGCCAGAAGAAACTCCAACCCAATCAACGGCAGCAACGCACCAAACAAATCCTATCGTGGCCACATGGCAGGGCAAGTGGCCGATCGGTGGCAAGCAAACACACAACTGCTCTGGGAACAGACACTTGCGGCTGTGAACTGTCCATAATATGGACTGATACTTGCAGGGGTAGTGCCTTGTTTCTAATTTCCCCCAATGCATTCAGTATCCCACCCATACAATCAGGGCACACTGATGCTCAATTAGGGCTGCATTGGCCAACCCCCCAGGCATGCCACAATCTCTAGCCACCCAAGAGCTGCTCACCGTCAAACATCGTGTCGTTCAGTTCTCTGATAGCATTTCGGGCGTCTTCCCTGCTGCTGAACTCCACAATGGCGCAGCCCTTCATCAACAGTCGCGCACAACCACTCAGAGGCACACCAGTCCGCCAACATGCCACCCTCCAACGCCCCCCACAGCACCCCCCAAACCTCGCGTCACGCCTCGCGTCAAGCCATCCAGGGACTCCACACGCCGTGCCCGCATCCACCACGCCGGCACCGGCGCTCCCAACGCGCCAGACGGATATCCATTTTCCTGCATCCGGCCGTCGCCACCCATCCCCGCGTCCCGCCCCCGCCCAGCCCCTCCTCTTTCGTTCAAAGTCCGGCTGTTAATCAACCCCACCGCCCAGCGCCGATCGCCCCGCCCGTCCGTGCCGTGCGTAGCCCCTCAGCCTACCAGGGAGCGTCCGTTGCGGTCCTCCATTATCCGCACATGTTCCACCCCACCAGCCTTCCTCATGAAGTCCTTCAGGTCCTGCCATACGCCACAGAAACGGCACAGTGCCCACCCTGCGTCATTTCACGTCACCTCCCGGGCCGAATGAGTCTCAGCATGGCCGCTCCGGCCCCCCAGGCGACCGCCCAGCGCGATCCCCCCACTTTCGCCCTTGGCCAGGACCCTTAGAAGCACAGGTCTCTGCACCGGGCGCCGATCCTGGCCAGCCTGCGAGCCAACGTTCCGGCCTGCTGCCCCAACCGCCCTCTCCACCCTCGCTGCGACGTCCAGGGGGAGGGCAGCCTCGCAGCCCCTCCCATCAACCAGCCGTCCACGCCTGGGCCGCCCATTTCCATTTCTGCACACCGCGTCGCAACGCCGCCCCCGGGCCACCAACCTGCCACGACGTCCTGTAGGAGAGATTGTGCACGTACACGCGGTTGTCCGCGTCCGTCCCCTCGCCCTTGAAGCCACCGCGCCTGGGCGGGCTCCGCCTCTTGTCCCTGCAGCACCACAGGCCAACGGGCCCCCGCTCAACCAAACCCCTTCCCACCCCCTTCCCCTCTCCCCGCGACGCTCCCAAATCGCACCCACGGGGCGTCAAAATCATCTTCCACGGCGTGAAAAGAAATCCCCACGAAAACCCTGCTCCTTGGACGGGATGGATGCCGCGAGATATGCTCCCACAGGCTAACAAATTCCCCTTCCTTCCCTGCGCCACGCAAGTTAGGTCATCCCCAAGCAGGCCTGATCCGGCGGGTGCCGTTCGGCGCGCCCCTGGCGGGGCGCTCGGATGCCTGGCGCCTTGGTGCGGCCGGTGATCGGCGGTTCACCTCTGGTAGGGGTCGTAGCCGTAGCGGTCCCCGCGGCCGCCGCGGGCCGCGCCGTAGTCGCGCTCGAGGCGGTCGTCGTGCCAGTAGTTCATGGTCGCCGGGCGGTCGTCGCCCCACGCCGCGCGGGGCGCCTGCCTAGAGACCCTCTCGCCGGGGCTGGCCGACCAGGAGGGGTGCCGGTTCTGCGCTCCGCCGATTCTGTGTTCCAGTGGTCCCAGGCAAGCAAATGCTTGGATGCTTTTCATGAGCCCCTGCATTGCCCTGGATAGCTTTTTTTTACCGAGTTGCAAGCAGATCTTTGCCAAGTGAATGATGTGCGCATACCGTTGCTTTTTGAAGCCTTCCGCATGGTAACGTAACGCTTGACCCTTTTGTGCGCAGAAAACAGTAAAATAAATAACGCTCTTTTAATAAATCTCTGCGGAGCACTGTCAAAAAGATAGAAGCAGCGCTCCAAAAAAAATGCAGAGCACGAAGCGTCGCAGTAAAATTTTCCGATGCGGAAAGGTTTAAAATACAACATTACATTGGGCTCTTCCAGAGAGCAAGCTTTCACGATTGCCATCAAAGCGCGTGATTGGGCATGCATTTCCTGCATTCCTGACGATTGCGTGCAGGGCTGGTGGCGATCGATTGAACCGTTGGGGTGGGCGCTGAAGATGGCCTACTGCCCGAGTCTCTGCTTTTTAGCAATTTGAATAGAAGCGATGTCCCGCTGCGGTGGGGACTGAGCTGTTTCGCGCTGGCTGTGTTGGCGTGGTGAGCCTCATGGAGACAGCTTTCACACCGCAAGCGCAAAGATACCGCCAATGCCATCAACTGAGAGTGAAAGCACATGTGTCTTTTGTCTGGTGTTCATGTGCCTTGTTGCTAATAGCACTACTTTGTGCAGAATACCATCCCTGCTGTGGCAACATCGTTGCAGGAACATGCACTATCGCTTCAGCACTTTGACTCTAAAACCAGCATCACCCTTGCCCAATATATTTAGTTGGCCAGGCCAACTTGGCCTCAAGTCCTGTTCTTCAGTACTGCATTTCTATTTTTATTGCCTCCATTTGCCTTCTTCAAAAGGCACACGGACCTAAAAGACATTTACAGAAATGCAGAGCGGATATAAAATTCTCTTCGCTTGCCAAATTTGTCGGCTGCACCCTGCACGCACGAAGGCTCAAAGGCGCATACACGATTGAAATCACAAGGACTGCAGCCACCACAGATGCAAGAGGGCTCATTACAACTATAGTGAAATAAGTATCACATCATGAGCACAAGCGCCCTGCACTGTCATCAGACCAGGTCCCTCTCACTGAGAAAGCAGAAGCCACCAAACGCACGTTGAACGCACAGAGCACCTTGCGCCACGTGCTCCAATATGCATCGCCGACCTTTCTCCAGACTTTGCCAAAGCACTGCCCCTGACACCAGTATTCATATCCACCCGCACTTGCTTTGTCCCAGTTGGGACCCTCGAGCGACTTTGGTTCCCATTTACTGGTGACAGCACTAGGCGCTGCTGCATGGCCACAAAGAGGGAAACTCTCCTAGGGAACACAATGACAGTCACACCAAGCGCAGCAACACCAGTACCTTCCTCGGCTGACGTCACCGCCTCGCCGCACAATTATGTCTGATGACACTCACTGCAACCTTGCGCATCTCTGCTGTCGCTGCACGCAAATCCGCAAAGCTGTGTGCATTGCAGTGGAATGCAAATGGCTGAATTCTGTCTAGAAGCCCAGGCAGGTGTACCAATATGCCCATGTTTCAATACCAACGTCCATCGTGTGGCCAACTTGTCGAGCCAAAACAACACAGCATGCTGCGTGCCCTTGATTTCCTTGTGATCTCCCTATTCCTCCACGTCTTCGTCCTCCTCAGCAAGCACGTCGTCTGTACCATTGTCTGCAACACCACTCAACGTTGCTTCTGCGTTTTTCAGCCCGCCTTGACTGATGCTGCTCGATGTCAATGTTTCGACCACAGCCTGCAAAGAGCAAAAATAGAATAGCGAGTTTATTATGGCTGCAAACCAGCATTGCTGCCAATGCACGCCCAAAGCACTCTGAACGTTCCCCCATTCGTGCACTCTCCCTTGCTTTCAGGCAAGCCTGTATGGAATCAGCTTCTAAGAGATGTGGCTGTGTGAGACTGCAGATCGGCCACACTTACAGTTGCAGGCTGCCCAACTTACATTCGTGGTGGGCATCTGCTGGTCGTTTTTGTCAGCAATGTCCCAGCAATCATCAACATATTTGCTCAACAATTCAACAAGTCCACAGTGATGTGGCATTGTCCTTTTTCTCATGGAACAAATATTCACAAGTTAGACTTTGCCACCCATGGCAGTGCATAGGTGTTGCATGGCATCGTGCTCCACGCCGGGAACAATACAGCCCCGTGTCCACAATGTCTTGCAGCTGTCAAGACAGTTGCTGCACTTACCAGATGACCAGCTTGAGTGGCTTCATCTATTGGAGTCCTATCAGTGCAGTTGACTGCTGATGGGTCAGCCCCAGCCCCCATCAGCAATGCAACAACCTGCAGAGAGGGAAAGCACCTGATCTGTCATATGTGACGTACATTTTGCAACAAAACAAAGACATGATAGACAAAAGGTGGTCAGGCTGGGAAACTCCAAATCATGCAAAAGGTGGTCAGGCTGGGAAACTCCAAATCATGCAAGATGTGGAACAGTGCGGCAATGCATTCCTGTGCAGAGGGGGCACAAGCATTCATGGCACAGATCCCATCATGCTTTTACCCATCTGTGCGACTTGCACTGCAACCATCATCCTTTCATTGTGAAGATTCATCAGCATGTCCTATTGTCAAGTAGCACCTGGCCTGGTAAAGTTGAAGAACTCGCGAGCATCCGATGCTGCTCAACAGAGAAAGCTAAGAAGTTTGACTGGTCTGCACACAGGCTGTTGTGGTTATTGAATAAAAGTGCGTTCACAGGAACACCGATCACCACCAACACTGCACAGGCCAAATGCCACTGAATACCTTCAAGATGTGAGGGCTGCACCTTGGCACTTTTGAAAGGGGTAAATGAGGGGCTAACATCACAATTTCCATCAGTTCTTCAGTGCACACTCATTAGCATTGTGATTTATGCAGTTAACAAAGATGGTAAGGCACTTTTGAAAGGGGTAATTGAGGGGCTAACATCACAATTTCCATCAGTTCTTCAGTGCACAATCATTGGCATTGTGATTAATGCAATTAACAAAGGTGGTGATACAGTATTAGGATCACAACACTCCTGAAAATACTCTGTCAGTTCCAGTGCAGAGCATGGCTTGATGCATTGTGTGAGAATATGACATCATAGCTTTCCCACCTCTTGGTGCCCATTCAGGCTTGCCCAGTGTAGGGGAGTGTTGCCCTGGTCATTCCTTGCCTCAACCATCTACACACAACACTGGGACAACTTGTCGTCAACCTTGCTGCAGATCGAACATCCTGAAAGATGAGCAAGCAAACCTCCACAACAACTCTCCACAACAACCCTCCCTCCAACAGAGTTTCAACAGCATTCACCCAAGCTTGACAAACTTCCGGCAGCAGCATCTGTTGTAAGTCCCTGCTGAGTGACATGCTTGTGTTTCCTTTTCTATCCAGTGCATGGCAAGTCATCCTCAGTGTCTTCTGGTATACCCCACAAATTGTGCAATTTTATGTTGGGTGCGACACTGGACTGACCTGACTCTATATAGTTTGCTTGTGAAATATCACAAAAATTGAAATCCAGCATCGCATATTTGTTGCATTGAGCAAAAGCATGTATGGGTATGTCCAGAGCACCACATGTACGTTCCCATGTCCATGTGTGGTGTCACATGCAACGCGATCCATGCACTTCAATTTGTGTAAATCCTTTTATTGTGCAATTACAACATGTCATGTCCTGTGGCAGTCTCAGAAGGTGGGCAACACAGGCCCCTGGAAGAGACGAAATTCCAAGTTGAGGAACACATGGAGATCTCCTTGCAAGGGGCAACAGTGTTGAGCATTCCTGCGTTGACACTACATGAAATCTGAAGAACAGCGACAGCAACATGACTGGACACTGAAGGGTGCACACCAGGTACGAGGTTAACGATGGCATGAGGCACCTACTGCTCCAGCTTGCAGCAATCGCGCAATAATGTCAATGTGCCCATTCGCCGCAGCAAAGTGCAAGGCTGAGCACACACACCCAAAAGAAGAGGTCACCAGCTGTTGAAATCATGAGTATTGCTGTACTGGGGAGTTTGACAGGAATAGTTGACCAAGTGCCACACTTGGAGTTCAGCGTTATTGACCTCCTTAGTGGTCGACAACACGAGACAAAGAACCCGATTGAATCGCATAGACATTCCACGCAACATACCAAACAGCAGGAGTATTTCGCGCCAGGAAATTCACAAACTCCCACCCCGCTTCCAAACGTTCGTTTCTGCAATCGCCTCGGCCAGCGGACAGCATCCCAAGCCATCCACACTGCTGCACTCTTGCCCCACTCCAGCGCCCCAAACTCCCACCCCTGCGCGCTTAGCGTAGCAGTTTTAGCACTCATTTCATCACTATTTGCTGCGCCGAAATTCCGAATCCTCGACCATCAAATCCTTGAACATCAATGCTGGTCGCCAGGGATCAAACACACGGCAGGGCAACAGAGCCTCCCTGAATGGGCTATGCGGATGGATCCGCCAGATCCTTTCGCGTTTACATCCGTGCCCGCCTGGAGAGCCTCTTCCACCTCCTCCAGGTCACCGTATCTGGCGCCGTCCAGCAGCATCGCCCACACCACCTCTGCTCTATCCACCGAATTCGCCAACGCAGCGCTACGCAAACACCCCAGGCGACACCAAAACCGCTCCTGCGAGGAGGTAAACCAATGCGCAGGCCTGGGTGACCTGAGTGGGCGACTGTGCATGAGCGACGACCGTGTTCCTAATGCGCCATGATGGAGCATTGAGAATGGACTTTGTGCTCATGCCCAGCTGTGCAGCCTCAGACAGTTGGACCGAATCCACAGGTTTTCTGAACAGTGCTGATTGATTATGTAACCAGCTTTCCAGTTACAGTTTCAGGAACTGCACTG